GGCACACTAAGGGCAGGACAGGCAGGAGTTCGGAGACGAGGTCGAGGAACAGGCGTACAACCTCACTGAGTTGTACGAGGTACGTCCTTCAGGGGTTCAGGGTCAGGGTTCAGAGGTTCAGGAGGACTCGAGGTAGAACAAGAGGTGTAATTCCTAGTTACAGATGTCCGAAGGAGATTACCAGATTGCGTAAAGAAAGTAAAATATACAGGGGCACACCCCTTTATATATTAAGGAAATCCTCCATGATCACTAATACAAAAGAAAGTCCTTGGCGTCGCGCACAGCCGCGATCCTTCCATCCGGTTCCGCTCCTTTCCGTCGCATGGCAAAATAACCCAATCATGGTACAAAGGAAATCCTACTATGCAACCAAGAAAACCACCACCCCTGTATGCAACGAAAAACCCAATGTTCCTCCGTTCAACTGGCCCGGGTGGCCGTGACACAGATGCTGCTCAAATGCAGGCTTTCAAACGCGCCCTGGCCTGTGTCAGCTCGTTGCTTGATTTCAGTCTGATGGTGCAATACCGAAGCCATACACCTGAGACTATAGACTATGTGGAACAATATCTCAATTGGTTTCACTCGACGAAGGATGTCTTCCTTGAATTCCAGGTTTCTAAACAGAGACCTGCGAACGTTCAGAACCAGCAGAGGGAACTGCGAAATCACAGAGTGCAGATTACTCAACCACATACGAAAGCTAGACGTCTTTAGATGCAGGACGAGGATTGCGGCGTAGAGAACGACCAGCTCATGGATCTGATCCATACAGAATCACATTTCAACTTTATCAAGATGCATCTATTGGGCCACTTTCAGGAACACATATACCAGTTTGGCAACCTTCCGAGGAATTCTACCAAGTTTGGTGAGCCGGCACGTAAAGAACAAACCAAAGACGGATGGCGATGCCCAAATAAGAATGATGCCACACAGCAGATCCTGCGCAGCTATGGCCACCACCATACGATCCAAATGAGACTCCGGAACCTGGATTCCATTCGAAGACACGGAGCACACATCTCAGCCGAGGTAGTTGAACTTTTAGACATGGCGGGTCTTAATTCGGGGCACGCCACACGCTGTAGGATTCTCAAGGGACATCGCGGGCATGTTGCGAGCCTGGATAATTTTTGCCAGGTCTTAGGTATTTCATGCAATAACATGTGTCGCGAAATGATTCGATACAGCCGGCAAAGTCTGACCGCAGAACGCTGGCTTCCCAAAGATCCAGCTGAACTTAAACTCTTCCTCTTTGAGCTATGAAAGCAACTTGAAATACCTGTCTTGGCCTTTCTGGAAACGGACGTTTACGACATCCACCAGGTACGATCTACCACCGCCCAACTCTTCCGGAACCAGGCGAGTCGCAATGATTAGATTTGGGTACAAGCAGCGGGGGAGCAAATATATGGTGCACTACGTGAGTGTCTCCCAGGCAAAATAATAGAACTCTTCAAAATCCGTGACCACAGGTACACCGAGAGGGTGTACAGGCTAGTGGGTGTTCAGGTGCTGAGCGTCCTTAACGCAGGGCGCCCATCCGAGTTTCACGCCCTTGTCACCGTACAGCTAAGGCCAGGTGCGTGAAGTTTTACAATAGTGGACATTGGGAGGATCATAGGGCTGGCGCACCTGATCCTGGACTCTGACCGGCAATGGCTTGTCAATAGTCGCATTGACTTGAGGATGTTCAAGGAGATTTATTGAGTAGTTGTGCAAGAATAGGGATTTTGTGAAGCACGGCGCAGACTCAGGATTGCCGACGGAGCCAATCCGAGATATCCAAGTCACCACCTCGCAAGGGCATGAGATCAAGAGACCAGGATAATCTGAATCGTGCACCGGGCCCTTGCGCCTAGCGGGTTATTAACATAACGGGAAGTCTGGGCTAAGATGACGCCAGCAGGACATCCTAGCCCAGACTCCAAAACAATGCATTTCTATAGACAGGTAGCAGAACTTGAGAATAATAAAAGCCAGAGGGGCATAATTGAAAGTAATAGTTGTAGAGATTAAGACTACACCGCGGGAGGAAAGGGTTAACTTAGAAAGTAAAAGCCCAGAAGCCCGCCGGGCCACGGGGTCCTCCACTCTACCTTCCTGCCGGTGAGGCATCACGATGGCGGTAGGAACACAATTGGAACCAGCTTCTGGGAGGGAACGAGGGACAGGAAGGCTGGGAGCAGGATGGAGTCCAGATGTCGGGAACCCAGAAATTAGGATCCAGACACCCCGGCGTGAGACAAGAGTGCTGTGCATGCAGAGAATGTACTAGACTAGACTAGACATAAGAGGATGAGAGCTGAGAGTCAGGGCGTAGAAACTAGAAAAGGTGCAGCAGCACAAGACCTCAGGATAGCGGTCGAAACTGGGAGATCACTTAAGACGCAGTCAGTATAGACGGAGGGGGGGGGGGTGCGATCAGACTCACCAGGGCATGCCGACAGGACTCCTAGCGCATCGGATCAGGAGTGGAGTTGAGGCGGAGATTTGGATGCCCAGGATGGGGCAGGGTGTTGCGTCAGAGATCCGGACACCCAGGATGCGGCTGGGTGTCAAGCTAGATCCCAGGATGCATGGGATGTACAGGATGGGAAAGAAAACGCAGGCGCGTCAGGATGCAGTGCCCAGACGTCAGACACAAGCTATTTGTTTGCTGATGCAGTAAGAACTATGAGGAGGAGAGCATAAAACAGGCAGCAAATTCAAAAAGAAGGAGTTATATATGCATTTGAGGCACACCAAATGATGAAAAGGAGAGAAGATGCTGAGGTGGAAAAGGCTGAGAAACAAGTGCAGCATGCCCAGAATGCAAGGAAACAAGCTCTAAAGGCAGAGTGCAAGCCTTTTTTGGATGAAATAAAGATATGTGCAAAGAAGCATGAGGCTATACAAGCCTATAAAAGAAAAATATCCAAACTGGTAATTGCTGGTATTAAGTGTCAAGTAAGGCTTGGAAAAATAAATGTAGATTAGGTGGGAGGTATTCTGTCATGTATGTAAAACAAAATTCTTTGTTCTGATTTGGTGTTGAGCCTTACAGTAAGGTTGAGTCACAAAGTGAGGTTGAGCCACAAAGTAAGGTTGAGCCACAAAGTAAGGTTGAGCCACAAAGTGAGGTTGAGCCACAAAGTGATATTGAGCCAGGAAGTGATGTTGAGCTGGCAGGTACTCTTTAGAGTGCCCCAAGTTGTGAGCTTGCGAACATGTGGAGGTTGTGGCAGCCAGCCACTGGCACAACATTGGCACGAGTAGTATATAGCAACAAGTATTGATCCCGCTCTATTGTGCCTACCTGCATAAGATCTGAAAACAAGAGCCATAGTAAGTCTTCTAGAAGTAGACCTATAATATCATATCATAAGTACCTACCCTGTGGGTAATCCATCTATCAGGAAGCTCCTGGAAATCAATTTATTTGCACCAGTCTAAACTGTTCCCACTAGCATGATTACAGGTACATCCAATCAGCCCTATAACCCATAGATAGGTAAGTGACTGCTTGGTGTATCAAGTTAATACAAGCAACTTGAAGGCCATTCCTTCTTACTTATCACTTCACCACTATACAGATCAAGCTGATTGCTTACCACATTATTCTGTTTACATTCTAGGAAAAATGTTGCGGCCCTTCCAACTCACCGCTCGCCCTTTTGTACGCCATTACGCCCTCTACTTCGACTACTGGAACAAATGGGATGACAAACAGTTCATTTCACCAGCGAACCATAAACAGGCCATAGCCATCCATGAGTTCAGGTCATCCAGAGACTTTGAGTTTCAACACCAGCTCCATATGAGCACTCATAAAGGCCTGATGGACAATATTCAGAGTTGTCATGAAAGGAGAATGCAATACTTGCAGGATTCGTTCAAGGACGAGATACAGACCCTTAAAAGTTTCCACAAGGCGTGCCAAAAGCCTACCATCAAGATCCTGCGGGAGCGGGAGAAAGAACTTCGCAAAATGGATATAGAATGCAAAGAACTCAAAGTCTGTTTTTCTCTACCCTTGATTTGCATACTACTCCTAATATTATTGTAGAAGCAAACTTTGCGCGTACTGTCGGAGAAGATGTGGTTGGAGCAAAACTTCAATATCCGCGGGGCTCTTGGTATGATGTTACAATATCCACCTAGCCAGTATGAACAGTACTGATATCAAACTATAGAACAGATCGTTTATCAGTTCAGAGAACCAGAGGATATCAGGTCTTCAAAAGGGATACAAAAGGGGCTTGATGAGATAGCAGAAACAGGGGATTTTATTGCGGTGCGTGATAAGGTGGTGCAAGAGCGTGGGTTAGAACGTGAAAGGGTTATAGCTTGTATCCACTCCATCTACCATGAGGTATCGAAACATGCTCATGGAAATGATGGGACCATTGTTGTCCGCGCCATTGACTTTACGCCAAATGAACGGGCTGCGCTGGTCACCTTCTTAAAGCTGCAGAGTACATGGAAGAATCCCTTAGTGTGGCAGGAGGAGGGGTTATCTGATGAAGGTAAAGAGAGAGTATAGAGGGTAGTGTTTCGTTTTTGGACCTACTTTTTTTTTTTTTTTAAAGTACTTTGCAAGGGTTTCTATCATACAGACATCATTACCAATATCCACTCCAATATCCACCTTGTCTGAGAACAAGCATCCTGTTTGACCATTTGTGTCCTGGCTAGAGTACATGCGAAACTACCACCCAATCAAGGATTACAAATATGGGTGATTTAAAGCTGGACTAGAGGATCAGCACCCAGCGGCAGTTTATTTGTCACTAGTGTAGAGCTACGATGTGGGTCCTGTCTATGGTCCTTTTCAGGACCCGCCACAACCTCCCTCCTCCCTGGCCGGCAGTGCCGGCAGTGACAACTTTCGCCAAAATACTGCACTTTTGCTCGGCCTCCTCTTCAAACATCTTAATCCCGGTCAAGAAATGTCCCTCACCAGGCTCGCCGAATGTGGATCTCCATGTAAAGTGACGATGGACTATGGCCCAAGGAGAAAGCAGTTCTACCCCTAAGCCGCCACTGTCACCTATAAACAAGGTGATACTGCATGTTGCTACTTCTGACTTTTGGATGTGCTAGCGTAGATGAAACAATTACAGATTTTACGCAATTCCCACCGGCCCTTACAGAGAGCAGAACGGGAGTTTAACCTCCAATGCCATTATCATACCGGTACTACGGATGTTCCTCCACCTTATTCAATATTTTCTCCACTAGTTCCAGAGCCCGATTTTAGTACGGTTGGTGTGCAGCTGGCGGAGCGAGGGTAAATACCATTGGCGCCTACAGTAGCCTCTAGCGAGAGCACTATCTAAACGATTATAGGTCTACCCTGTACATAACTGACCATCATAGTAGCAAGAATAAGTGACCGGCCTAGCTGCCCGGAGAGGAGGAAAGTCTAATCTTCTTTACCTACTCACCATGGGACTTTAAACAATCAGTGGCCCCACCGGTAATTCAAAAAGAAAGACGGAACCAACGCAATAAGGATGGAGGGATGATAGCCAGATGGGCAGGCCGGAGACCGGAGGCTTAGTTTCGTTATTAGACTCTGGGGACCTACAATAGTTTGTGGCATGTTTCCGCTTTTCCAACGCAGGTCCGGCCAGACCTCTTTTTGGCGAAACCCCAAAAGATTGATGGAGAAGATTTGGCTGTCGATAGGAAGCCAAAATCATCGGAATTGAATGTTGGCAATAGTGGTGATAGTAGGATTAGTGGAACTCTGGGAGCTTGTCCGCTGTAATATTAATGTTCTATCCTTACTAAAACTCTACATACCGTACTCTATAATGCAAGGCCAAAGCAGTATGGGAAGGTGGCAGGAAAGAGAAAGAAATAATCGGTACCCACCCACTAGTAAGGAAGGTATACGAAAATTAGCATTTCAATACTGATCATGGGTGGTAAGATTCACCATTTGGATATCTATTGCAAATGGAGCATCCTTTGGCAAACATAGGGCCAAATACCCGAAAACATAGGACATGTCAAAGTTCACTATCAAAAGGTTTTATAGGTATTGTGCTCAGGTCCCACAACGAATCTATCACCGGACACAGTGCTCTGTGGTACGGAGCTAGGATACATATAAGGAGGACAAGAAACCGGATACTTTGGAAACAGTGCAGGAATTAGTGTATGGCTATTAGTATAAGGGAATCAACCATCAAACTTTGGTTTTACTGAGGGAATTGGGGTAATGATTTACCATACTGGCTTCCCTTGTTCCTGGAGGGAAGACAGGAAAAGTAGTAGATTCTGGGGTGGAACAAGATGTCTGTTTTGCTTTATGATGCGTTAATAGCCTTGCCTGCTCTATAAACCCCTTTATGATGGGTGTAAAGAAAGTTCTACACAACAACAGTTCTTGCTTTTCCCTCCTACGTAGCCCATGTTTGTTGGTTACGAGTTCTTGAGGACGATAACCGTATGCAATCAAATAGAGTTTTAATCTCCGGCTCTCCACAGCAGGTAAGGCAGTTCAAAGAATGCACGAAGGGACTAAGTTGGAATAGCACAATACGGAAGGATAAATTGAGCAGGAAGTTGTAGCGGAGAATTACCACACAATTGATAAGGGGACTGGCTGAGGGGAGACCACGAGGGATCTTCACTGAATGGAGGACAATGGCACGGATGAGATTCAAAGTAAGTAATATAGAGGAATCAAATTATCTAATCCAATTTTCGGCAACCCTAGGCGACATTAAAGCAGGCAAAAAAATACGACCAGCAAAGACCAATGCAGTATTCCATCTCCCAAAACACAAAGAATTAGTGGCCAGCATGACTAGTGATATGAACTCGGGTATCTGCTGCATAATTGTGCAAAATGTGAAAGGAATCAGGACATAACCCACAATGCCACCCTACATGCAGGCAAACAGCAGACCAAATCAAACTCTTACTAGTCGGGTGTGCTGTAAAAAAATATGGGATGTATCATATGTTAATAGGGAATTCCCTGCTTACCAGCATGAAATCTAAACAATCACCCAACATTTCGTTACAATATACCCAATAACAGGATAATATAACCGTATATCCAATGACCAATCTATTAGCGTGGAGCCCGCAGCAGTTAAATGAGATGCACAAGGGGATGTTGTATCTCCGGCCATCTGCATTCGATGATATATACAATTTGCCCTATAGCCGATGGATGGGTGAGTGACAGCGTTGTCTATTGAGCCCGCACAAGCAATGTCACTTTTCTATGCTTATATATTCAACTTTATTCCGGTTAAGCCTACTATGTGCAGTAACTTGAACACCCCATTTACAGACGTCTTAAAGATGTTCCGGTTTTCCAATTGTCTGTCTCCCTTCTGGCCTATGGCTCGCCCTTTTGCGCCTGCTCCTCAGATCTTCTTCGGATATAATCAGAAGCTGGCAATCACTACCTCCCTGTGGCAGTACGGGGATCAGCCTGTTACATTCGATGAGCACCGGAAGATCATAAAAACACTCCTCAATGATCACTTGAACCGCTACGAGAGTCGGGGGCTCCAATTACTTAGCCGTGATACGCAGTTACAGAATGAACTTAGTGATAAGCTTTTGAGAAAGAGGCGCACCCTCGAGGAGGAACAAAGCAGGAAAAGACAGGACCTCTTCAAATTCTTTCGCCAGGATGCAAAGGAACGCCAGGAACAGAGGGATATGCTTTTCGAGAGAATACTGCAAAAAAACAGTGAACTGGTCCCCCTCCAGGCATGTCTATTTCAATCCATGTTGCACTTACTACTTCTAATCTTATTACAGTTCGAACTTCAAGGACAAATTACTGAGAAGCTGGCTCTACAGCAAAATTTCAACATCCGCGGTGCCCTTGGTATGCTATTACAAGACAGATTTATTGTGCAGAGGCTAATATTAATATATAGAACGGATTGTCTTGCAGGCTAGATTGAAGAAGATTATCTGGCGTCCGAACGGAGTTCAAACGGGGCTTGATGAGCTAGCAGAAACGCCGGAGTTTGATAAGGAATTGGACAGGGTGGTGGGAGCCCGTAAACTGGTGCGTGGTGATGTTGTCCATTGTGTTCGCCACCTTTACCATGAGGTTTCGAAACATGCATTGAGGAACGATGGATTCATCATTCTGGCCAACGCACACCATTTCGACAAGAACTATCGCGCAGCAATGGTCGCTTTTCTCCGCATGCAGGACAAGTGGGTTAGCCCTTTAGATTGGGTGGAGACCAGACCACCAGAAAGTTGAAGTGCAGATGAAGAGTGCTTTTTTTGATGTTTTCTTTTAGATTTTTTGGGAGAGTTTACAAAAACCTGCATCTCAGGGATATTATTATTACAACCAACTTCATCTGTGAACCTGTATATGATTCTTGCGTTTGTATTCCAACTGGAGTGTACTCGATACAAGTGATATTGGGAAGCGGCGAGGGGTAGTATGTCAAAAACTTTCTAGAAGTTTCGTATGGGAGCATTGGATTATGTACCAGATGAACCCTACTAAAATGCCTTTTTTGCACTAGGTTGCAGCACCAGCCCCCCCCCCCCCCCCCCCCCTCCCCTTACTCCCGTTCGAAAATGCTAAAATCAAAACCTTGCGGCTTGTTCCTAGGTGCTCCGTAAACCTCTCCATACTTTTGGTACACAAATTGTTTTTAATGGGCTTCACGAGTGTCTTGCTTTGCATCAAGTGCCAATAAGGGCTTTCCCATGGAGAGCCAGCTTTGGAGTGCTCCACTCTCTGCTCTCAGACATTGTCGAAAAAAAACAAAAAAAAACCACCTGTACTCTGAATAGTGTCGGGTGGGATTTTTCCGATTGTCTTAGGACAAGTGAGGAAGCTGTTCCTTGATTTCTACAACCTAGGTTCACCAATACACATATGTTAGTTTTACTTTTCCACCTACTCATTCGTTAGATGCTCAGCGACGTGGGTTGACACTCTCGCAACCGGCTAGCTCCAGAACCCGATCCAGCCACACCAGGTACCAAGATATGGGTGCGGAAACGTCCCCTGATTTCTCTTCATCCTGACGTGGCTTCTGGCTCCCTCTTAGGGGACCAAGATAGCTTAGATTTCCTCAGATAGAGGTAGAAGTGGAATGGCCTCATCTCTTTCTTTCCCGAGCCAGGGGCTAGAAGCATGGCTGGTACTAGTAGGCAAACGTATGGACAAATACACGTGACTGATCACCAACTGCCAGGGCTCCAATCTCACCCACTCAGTATTTCCACTACCCGATATAGGTTTTGAAGGCATCGAGTGGCACCTAGTCAGACATTTCGAAACCAGTGTTCCTAACCATCTGAGGGCCCGGCGGGGCCCTACGGGGGCACTGCCAAGTACCCTGGACCAGACGGGACGGCCAGGTGCAGTCCGTCCCGGGCGGTGAAAGCAGAGGACGGCCGTCTTTGGATAGGATGGCGGGCTCTATGGGGTGAAACAAAGTTGGCAAAGGGATCACCACGGATGGCGGGGCTCTACCAAGGACTACAGGGGACGACGGGGGACGACGGGGGACTGCCGGGGACGATGGGGGACGATGGGGGACTGCCGAGGAGTATCATTTTGTCCCTAGAATTTTATGCAGCAGGAGCGTAGTCCCCGGGCGGTGTCCGTCCTGACACTCCTAAAAAAGACGGACTACCAGCTGTAGTCCGTCCCATCCTACCCCAAAGACGGAGGGACTAGACGGTTGGGAACACTGTTCGGAACGAGGAAAGAAGGATAGAAGAAGCGGGAAGACAGGGAAGTGCGAAGACTAGCCTTCTCCCTGCAGATGGTGGCTGGAGGATGTCCTCACGGCACGATGCCGATGTGTAGAAAAATGGTGCCGCCATGGACCTCAACTTTAGCCCTAGGGAGGTAGTTTCGTGCTTGGCATGCCATGTCCGCATAAATTAAGAAGGCGTTGTCCACTTCTAGGCCGTCAAGAACCATCTCGCGTAGAGCACCTGTTTCCTATTAGCTCTCTACCGTGGGCCACTCAACGATCTCCATGACTAGTCAACTTGGCTATCTCCGCTACGCTTCTCTTCGGAAGCTCCATTCTCCCCTAGCCGGTCCCCGTTGCCCAGTCCTACTTCATCACATATCCTGGGAGCTGGGGCATACGGATAATCCCATATTGAAGGGTGTTAATATTATGCCGAGTGATACCTAGTGACCACAGATGTAGGGAACTGCTATAATATTCTTGTCAATCGAGCTTAAGATTCCGTATTAGTAGGGGTATTCTACCATAACGCATGCACTATTAGTTACACAATGCAGAAAATGGATCAAATCTTGAAGCCACTTGTAGGCCAAATATGTAGTTGGAATGCATGAACATCCGGTTTCCATTTCTCACGAATTCCCGCATCACCAGCTTAAAATTGACTCTTTGGTACAGGCACAGCAGTGGGGGGTACATGGGTTCTGTAGTGTGTTGTGAGCACCTGCCTCGTGTTTCAGGGCTGGTAAATAGTACATTACAAGCAGAAATAGTTATCGGACGAATGAACTGAAAAGGTCTCTGAATCAATATTCTTGGTGCAACCCGTGCAGACCTTTACCAAACTGTTAAGTCCATTAGGGGAACAAGCCCCACTCCTACTGGTCACCTTGCGATGCCCGGACCTGCTCTAAAGTGAGAGGGCCGTACGGCTACTATAATGCAAACATCTGGATTATTTCCCGGGGGTGTCTGGTAACGTGCATTTATTGAAAATGTCGGCACCCAATTCCTTCAGAAGGCTCGGGAGAGTGGGGGCAAGGGTAAAACTCTCTCGACTAGTTATCCCAGTTCTCTTCCACTTATGGTACTTAGGACGAACCCCAGGGGATGCCAAGTTAGTGTGAGGAGTGGGCAAGTTACCCAAATATTCTTCTCCTCCGGGGGTTTTCCGCCGTGAAGCTGGTCTTGTGCATCCTATTGTTAACACCGTGGTTAATGCTAGTAATGGTACAGTGATTCCCCCCCACCGAGGCCTTTAATGCTTATGTACCCTTGCGGAGGGAGAAAAAATCTGGAGACGACACGAGCACAGGTATAATAGTAACAGTGCATGCTACCCATAGCCATCCCCTCGAATTCCTGTGTCCTGTGGATATCATGTCCCCCAATTAAAAAAAAAAAAATCTCATAACGAAAAGGAAGGGAAAGGAGGCTGGATAGTGAGTCCCGGGAACCATTGGGCAGGACCCACTCGTTATGTTGGGCTAGCTGCGGGTCTCCAACGGATAACTCGTTAAAAACGTTTAACCTACTCCAGAGTTTGTGGGGCATATAGGCACCAGCCAGAGAAGGGACGTAATTACCACCAGTAGCAGGACCGGCCGTTTGGACTAGAAGATCAGGCTCTGGTTAAGCAATACTTGCGGATCAGGAGTGTCTTGTATGTGAAAATAGTGTAGGGTTATTTGCAATCCAAAAGAGGCGAGGGCAGTATACTCGAAGGACTCACGGGCTACAAGAGGGGTCAACAAATATCCTGCCAGCTGCAGTTAGTTGCAATAGAATCATGTTACCCACCTCCTTTGTTTGCCGAATGGCTATGCGGGGTGACACGCGCCAGTGCGAGACAGCAAGAAACCGGAGCAAAAGATTTATTGATGAGCTGGGGGCAATAATTCAAGGATTATCTATCGTCGATAATTTACTATCTGAGATAGCAGACTAAATATGTCAGGAAAGTGGGAACAGAGGACAAGGGAAACACGGGTCTGCTCGCCGCCTACACCTCCCAGAAAACCAGTGGTCAGAAATTCTCTCGTCTAGGAACAGTGGCCAGACCCATTCACTCATGTCCCAAACCTCCCGGCCGGCCAGAGGCCAGAAATTGCCCTCCCGGAACCGCAGCTGATCTGGTGCACTTGCGTCCTGCAACATTTGGCGAGCTATATGTGAGCAACTGTCCCGTCCCAGAGCTGTAGCTGGTCCCGCCTATTTACAAACCGCAAGACCCATTAAGCGAGAGGTCAGCAGTTGTCACGCCCAAGAGCAAAGAACATTGAATGGCCAGGTTCACTTACTTCCTTCATCACTCAGCGAGTCTCAGGTCAGCAGCCGCCTCGTGCCAGAACTGTATTCGGAGTCACGCACCGGCTCGTGGCCCCGCCCGATCCTGAACCCGAAGCTCATTTCCGAAGTGTAAGAAGCCTTGGGGCGGCTAACACTATTTGCCGCATTCGCCGGGTTTCCGTTGGAAATCACGAGGCGTTGCTCGGCGTGCTTTTGCGATGGTTTTCTTGTTCGCATATTTTCTGGGAGTGCATCTTTGGTTTCGGGCGCACTTCAGCTTCGGCTTCTGCCCACGCAGTTCGGCTTTTCGGGAAAGCATTTTGGCCGCGGCAATACGCGGAGGTCCTGAGGCAGTGCACCCGCCGGGAAGAATGCGGGAAGGCTGGAAGGGAAGGAGAGAGGCCCGTAAGGATGGCCGGAGGCCATGGATAGCGAAAGTTTGTCTTCCCTTTGTTAGTTTCTTGTTTACTAGTGAGCGGGAGACGTACCTGGAAGGATAGGACTTAGTTTGTTGCTTTGTCGTTGGTATATACTCCGATCTTTACCGTTAGCCAGTTAATGCGCGATAGTGAGAAGTAGACGAAATGAAGAGTTTAAGAGTTTTTCCCCCTCACGAGTTGTGCGATCAGTCCGTGTGTGAGAGCTTGGCGTTTCGTTTCGTTTGGTGGTGTTCATTGCGCGCCATTGGTAGCCCGTCGTTCGTTGGTTTCGTTTGTTGCACCGTTGCGCCGTAAATTTACAGTACCACCGTTCGGATCATCGTTCGTTCAATTCGCCTCGATAACCCTTGCCGATCGGGACGTTTGAAAGTTTCGTCGGGGTATCTGCCTTTGTCAAGAATCCTGGTGTAACGCGGAGCTACCGGTAGACTATACGGAGCGGTGGAGACAATATTGGTAAACCCCTTCTGCGGGCCGTAACCGCTATTCTAAAGTTTCAGGAACAGGAGAAACCCAAAGGAAGGTCCGTTCGGCAAAAGATTTGGGGAGATTGTGCAAATATCCCAACCCCTAGTGTGGCCCCAGCAACTAAATGCCCTCATCTATAGCACGGCTGACATCAGTAGTAGTAGCCTTGACTTCGTCCTCCCCTCCCAGCGGAATCGTCGTTGCCGGTGAGCCAAGTTGCCTCTCAATTTCGCGGAACGGACGACTTGTAGCTGGAAATTTCAGAGGGCAATTGGGAGTTCGTGATCCCGGAAGACGGTTAGGTGGCAGATAAACGGAGATAGTGCCCCTTCTTCGAGCTTATCCAAGACGTCCGCAATACGATACTACATAGACTGCCGGTGTGGTGGAAAACAGGTTCGGCGGTTCCCGGCCCCGGATTGCTGGGGTTTTACCCACAAAGTTTGCTGTCTGAGAGGCGGCCTAACAGGTAGAAAACTTTCACCTACGCGCGCACCTCCATCTTCATAACTAGATATCACCGAACACAGACGAGACCATACCCCTCCAAAAAGTATCTCGACAACCTTTCCTTTCCCTCTCTGCTGGCCTCAATTTCTTCTCTCTTTCCATGATCTTCTCGATCCTATTACGCCCCTATATTTTCCCCCCACTTTTCCGCCCTCTATTTTGCGGTTCAACGCAGAGTCATGAGCAAGTCAGAGTCCATATGCCCGGCGCGATCTAGATACCATCCGGCAACAGGAGTCAACCGAGACACTCCCCTCATCCTTAACCCCTCAACAGCGGATATGGCGAGGGAGTTCCGCGGCATAAGGAGCTGATGTAGGATAGCGCAAAGGGCAAGGGTTACGCTCCCCTGCTTCTCACCATCGTCCCTAAGAAAGAAACAGCAACCGATGATGTCTACCCCATTGCTGACATGCTCTATGAGGAGAGAAGTAACTTAGCGATTTTTCGCAGCCCGGGCCTGCGGATACTAGGAGGCCCGATATCTCTTTTTGAAACCGGTCCTTAAACTCCGGATGATCAGTAGCCCAGGTGCATGTCCCCTCGGCTGGCTCGGGAACACGGCTTTGGTGTAACCTATATGAAGACGTGTGCAGGCACTTCAAAACCTCGGTATAGTCCCGGGACTAGCCCATGCCCCCGTGGTTTTCATACGGCACTCGAGTAGGTGGTGTTGCGGAGGCGGATTTTATCGCCAGCGGGGCCATCGTAACCGCCACCGACAACCGAGCTGTCAGCCGCCGCAGTGCTAGCAACCATGGGTACCCAGGGACCACGCGTGGACGGGAGCAGACCAACGGGTATCCCAGGAGCATCACGGTTGGAGTACGAAAAGACCCTCGAAGTAAGGGCTTGACTGTTGACTGCCCTTGCGATGCATGAATGCCCAGGTTGTGGGAAGGTGCGTACCGCCGAGGGAGGAATTGAATACGTCCCTTGATAGCAGGATGGTAGAGAGCATTGCTGCTAAGATTAGTTCCACCTCTACCGAGACCCCCCGGGTATGCACCGTGCTGGTACTAGCGCCCTTTATCTGCAGCCTGACCCTTGTACCAGTATCATACCGGTGCTCGAGCGCCGCGCTCCGGTACAAAGGCGGGTGAGGCGCGGTGGTACGAGTATCTGATCCTGCCCAAGCTTGCTAGGTTTGGCCAACGCCCCTGGGCGATGCAACCCCCCAGCGTTCGTGGACACCTCCTGCCTTTAACTTCTCCATTCCCTTGTGGTTTAAATAATAGTGGGATGTGGGTTGGTGCGCCAAGCATTTTCTGTCGCCAGACCATTTTCCCCCGAGCACAAGTACCGCTACCTATCCCACCGTAACGGGACATCAATCGGAAAACAATGTTCATCCTGCGTGACCGGGTATCCGAGGCTAGTCACCTTCAAGGCGCTTCTAGCCAGGCCACGGGGGAGCTTCAAAGCTCTCCCACAAACATCGCTCGGTGCGAGTACTGTACCGGTACTGTACTCGGGTACTTGGTGTACCGTGTACCCCCTTGCCATGAGGTCCACTATGCACTGTGAGATACACCTGTACGAGTACTTGAGCGCGAGGGCCATCTTTGTACCGAGAAATCCGAACCCCCTACGGGTACCCCCCGGCGCACGATACCGGTAGGATATCATACCTCTACGCACTGGCAGTGCCCCAAGCCCAGGAAGTACGGCAGTGTGATGCCGTATCATACCGCCGCCCCCAGCTCACAGTTTATACACTACTGTACCAATCTCCGGTCCGAACAGAGCTAAGCCGCCGTGATGTGCAACCCCGACACCGCAGAAATTTCTCACCTTCCCCAAGCCCATCACCAATTACTATATTAAAGGGACATGTAGCGGCAGTGGAACTACTCCCAGAACGCGGGGCCCCAACGCCAATCCATCGCACATCGAGCACCCAACACCTCCATTGCGCCACCATGTTTGAGCTTGTGGGCCTAGGCAACCACTTCTAGCACGTGGGGATTTCCACCCCAATCCATCGGATAGTATGGGACAATCACCCTCATCATTTGGTACCAGGAGAGGCGATGAAGGTATCGAAGCTATTTCTGGAGCACGGGAATATCAACCCTGACTCACCGGATCTCAACAGTCGAAAACCCCCGACATATGCTATTATGTGGGGGCGGGAGGACCCGGTTGGAATATTATCGGAGTTCACAGGTCCTGGCTGCGAAGCGTTCGAAAACCGTGATCTGGTACAAACCCTTGCCAGCCGTGGGGATGCCTCACACCAAGAACACAGGAATCCCCCGTGATCGGAAAAAACCTCTACCACGTATACAACCTCCGCCTGATCAACTGCGCTCGCTCCTAGTCCCGTCCGTCCCCACCCTACCTCTAATTCCAGGTTAGTAATTCCTGTTTCCTTTCCGATTTTAGTCCCATTGATTTTCATATTTTTCGCGCTTTTGATATACGACGGGTGCGGAGATTCTCTTTTGGATTATTTCACACCATCCACGGGGCTTGACTGTATTTAATGTTTCAGTATTCGTTGGATTCCGTGTGTTCCGTGGTGTCAGTAGGATACCCGTGTCTCGTTTTCGCTTGCGTTTTTTTGGAATTCTCCTGGCGCAGTATTCCTAGTGTCTCGTATTGGCGGGGGTGCTCATTCAGTAATACCGAATTAATTATCACCCGGAGGCCGAGCTCGCCCAGGGGGCATCACACGACCGACTATCCCACAGGCATCCACCAAACCTTACCCTATCCCCCTATCTCCCTACCCGTCCACCCGCCTTCGCTCAACCACCCCTAGTGAGCCTTCCAAATGGACTTCGGGCGCAATGGGGACCAGCACTGTCACTAGCAAGGGCCTAAGCGGGATTGGATGGCTTCTAGCAGTCCGGCCAGAGCAGCTTTATCCCTGGACGGCCGGGGAAGCGGTACGCTGGTAGGGGGTAGCCCAGAGCAGCATAGGCGGTATTTCAGCTCCTCCATCATCTATCATAAAAATTAGGGCCTGTTTGGCGGGAATAGTGGGCGGGTCGACTGATCCGTTCGGCGGTAATTATATCTGGGGGAATGGTTGTCTTGGCATCTTCAGAACGGAAGGTATACTGTCATTTGTATGGGGGAACGGAACGGAACGGTCGTATCCAAACAGGCCCTAGACAAACAAATAGAACGAACGAGCCCGTCTGCAATCTCGAAGTACAAACTTGCGAATATAGCACCCGCTCAGGAATAAAGCCTCTTGTTTCATCTGCTTCGGCCGATGTCAATGTTTGGGTCGGATGCACCATCCCGGAGCACCACCGGGCCACCACGACACCGCCAATGCTATGGGGGCGGCATTGATTGCGGGGCACGGGATCCGGTGTGCGCATGCCTAATGGGCGCACAGCCGGAAGGTGCATCTTAGGTTATGACTAAATAAGTGGTGTTACCCCCAGGGGTTTTTTTCTTTTTCTTTTTTCCTACCTCATAAATCTTTCAAACTAGCCTATGTACAGTACAGGGACAGGGGCCAAGATGCTGCGAATCGCGTTATTGTAGGACCCTTGGTGTGTGGCTCTGCCTTCGACGTACAGTCTATTTATTATTTGTCCACGAGTATGAGGGGTCTTCCCCGATTCTCCTATTAAATTTTAATCTTGAGCCATACAACACTCATATGCACAACCGGGGGACATTTTCTAGCCTGAAGTTTGCATGAAGATTATATCAGCCCCACACTGAATTGAAATCTAGGGGCTTAACTAGGATAAACAAACCAGACCGGACGGATTGTCCGCAGCCTCCCCGTCACAAGTCGTCACTCGTAGTCTACCCCACCAGAGGTGTTGTAAGGAGTCTCATTATCCGACAGGGTCAGGGTTCAGACTCTGAGAACACAGTTGAGACTCAGAGGACACGGTTGAGACTTAGAGGACACGGTTGAGACTTAGAGGACACGGTTGAGACTTGGAGGACACTAGGAAATCTCTGTACACTAGTCTTCAGTCTATAAGAAGCCTTGTCCTTCCTTCTCCTGTATCTAAGAACTACAAGGATTCTTTTCATCTCTGAATCCGCACTGCTACTACAATCTGCACTGTTGCTACAAGAGGACGTTTAGTAGCCAGCCAGAGGCCACAATACACCATAATTGCGGGTTTTCGAGCCACGATAACTCCACAGATATCTTGAAACTCAGCTTTGAAAAACGATTAAAAAACCATTTGAGATGTCTAAAGTATAATATATATTTATTTTGGCATTTTTTCAGTTGTTTGTAGAGAACTGCGGGCACATGAGCTAGATGAGCTCCGCTGCAATACCGGTCTGCCCTTCCCATTGTACAGTACAGTACAGCAACCTCTGTCTTGGCAAGCGCCTCATGGGAACGAACATTACACACTTTTGTATATGTGTGCTATTGTAGCAGGTTACTTTTTGAATGTTTTCTTCTGTGTTGCTTCTGCCCATAGTGGTTGCGTAGTAATAGCTCGAAAACCCTCACTTTTCGTATGTTTTGGCCCCTGTCTGGTTATCAAACGATCTCTATTGCGCCTTCTCCCACATCCGCCATACCCCCCTTTCCGCAAAAAAGTTCCTCAAAGTCCCGTAAAGTCACCAATCTGCACATGCAGTCCCACAAGCAT